CAACAAGGTTTTATCCCTTTTCTTTTACCAAACAGTAAAGGCTCCAAAAAATAATTAAACAAAAAAGGGTAAAAGATGAAAGTGTCACACACACGCACAAACAGAGAGACACGCCCTCTACAGAATTATTGGCGCTGCAAGAATCATTCAATCGGCAACACGCAGCAACTGACAGCAAAAACACCACAAAGGGTTCATTAATTTCACTTTCTGACGGCAGCCCAGCATAGAAAAATCCAATCTTTATCATAAAAACGCAATAATTTTGCCCCAAAATCTCTCTTTTCCCCTTTTTTTTTGGTAGTCAGAGCGTTGCGCGTTGCCCCGATCCGTTTGACTCGGGTCGCACACCTAACAATGATAAATGAGTCTCACGAATAATTACGCAGCAGCCCGCTTACCAAAATTAAATTTTGGAAAGGAAAAAACAACTGTCTCTTTAAACTCTCTTTTGCACGCACCTTTGAAACAGCATACGCATTTATGCACCCATCTGAGTTAAATTATTTTCCTCTTTTATTCGAATCGCTTTTGATTGCATGCCAGCCATGTTTTTTCTTTTTTTCCCTCAAAAGAGATGGCTACGAGATGATAGACTTAAAGGCAGGGGTAGGTTGAGGTTTTAATTATGGCGGCAGATTAAAAGGGGTGAAATTTACAGAGGTTTATGCTTTTCTTGTTCCTTTTTTGTTCATTTTTTTCCTTATAATATCTGGGTTTCCGCGATTTTGTCGGAGGTTTTATGTCACATGAGGGCGATGTAGCTAACACGTGTCAAGCTGACACGGCTCCTCTAGGCTCTTAACCTGGTGGCTCGTGATTTTGCACATTTTTCTGGCTTTATTTGATCATTATCCGTACTCGTTTTAAGGTCCCGGGTGTTTTAACAGTGTTAAATGAAACGAGATCGCTCGTGAATTTAGTTAGATTTGATTTGACTCGTTTAGTATACGAGTTGAGCTTTACCTTATTTAAAGTTTGTTTAGATAACGAGCAAAATTCAATTCCCATTGAAAAAACTCCCAAAAAAATTTTTATAAAATCTGAATAGTTTGACTCTTTAAAGTACGAGTTCGAGCTCGAATTGACTCGACTCTAGCTTAGATTGACAGGTTTGGAAAAATGTTGAATTTCAATAATTAGTTTTGACCATTGGTCTCAATAAATATTTAATTGTGTCTGTATGTGATTGGAAAAGCATAGTTACTGCCTTTCGTGATTGGAGTGCGGGTCAGTTCTTCGATTGATTCTGGGGTGCGGGTTCCGTCTTGCTAGGCCTTCTACAGTGGTGGACGGTTATTTCTGTGCTTTGGAGCTATCTATTGAGTTGGTTTTGTCTGCCTTCTAACTAGATGTAGTGGGCGAGGAAGATTGTGCCTCCCTTTTTGTTTTTGTTTTTTAAAGTTGGTCTTTGTTTCAGTTATTAGTGTTGTTCTCAGTTTATTTGGTTTGGGCATTTAGCTTCTGTGAGTCCGAGTGTCACCTTATTATTCCATTGGAATTCGATATTCGGGTATTATTTTGTTGGAGTCTTTTTAGTTTCTTTTAGTTTAGTTTGTGTTTTTTACTTTAATTAGCGTTTTTTTATCAATCTACTGCTTCATGTGGACATGGGTAAAAAATGCCATATATATCTTATTTCTAAAACTAGTGCCTCATAAACAAAGTCATTTGTTATTAAAAATTTGTACATCTTCATTAATTTAAAAATATTAGTGGGAAAAAGACATGTACGGTAACATTTAGACACCTTAGCAACTAGAAAGCTTTTGGTGAAACCAAAAAATTGCATGGAATGTAGGTCACATAGAAGGCTTGTGGTCCATGGTCTAACATTTACATGTAGACTTATGGTGTGATAAACATCATTTGCAACCACCCCATTTTGGAAATTTATAATATCACAAAAATTGGTTTAGTCGACTAAACGAGTCAAAATTATACGATGATCAAACATTTCAAACGATAATAATCTATTTCGTAAAAAGATTATGCTGACCAGACTATATCATGGTTTACATAAATGTAGAAAATAAATTACCCCTATTTGAAGTAATGAGATACACTTAAGATCTCACCAAATTCGAATGAGATATGTCCTAAATACGAAAAGAATCTCATTTTCTTAAGTTACATGAATGCCATTTCTTTAAAAAGTCTTTAACTAGGATTTTTATGCCCTTGATGATCTTGGAAGATTAGTTCACCAACTCGAGCATAGTCGGCTCATTCGAAACTCTAGCTCTACTTGGACTATGATGAATAACCATTGGCCAACCTCTTAATCGACCTTATTGAGCTACTAAACCACATATACCAAAACCGAGCTCATTGCCGATAAAGCAGGCTCATTGCCGAGTTGGCCAGCTGTCAATATCACATATTTATCACCATTTTTCATACCATTGTCCCAAGATACAATATTATGTTTTTGACTAAGCATGATCCAGAATTTAACAACTCTAAAACGTTTTTGTAGGGTAAATTATATGATTTTATTATTATTATTATTTTTTTTTTTGTAAAAAAAAAAAGGGTACGAGGCAATTCATTCGTCTTATTAGCTGATCCGGAGTGGTCCACTAGATGAGACAACGATGAAGGGCCCATTTTTGGTGGGTTAGCCCAATCATGAGCTGTAAGGAAAGTGGCCCAAGTACAGGCATTTCAAATCAGTAACTTGACAGTCATATGTATTTCACTTATTTATCAAACTCTTTTTTCGTACAAGGGAGGCTAATGCCTTAAACTACGATATTACGAGAATGGGCTACTCCGAGAACATCATATTCAAGCCACGGTTTCACCCCGTGGGAGGATCGTCCAGTATATGAAAACCGCCCGGCATGGTCGATGCTAAGGATGCCAGATAATCCTTATTTATCAAACTCTAAAGCAAGAAATAACAAAAGCCAACTCCGATTCTTATTTTTCTTTATCAAACTCATAATGGTAGATAAATAAATAAATAAAGATGAAAAATAGTGACCACTGTAATAAATATTGCTGAAAAATGAACCAAAATTTCTCCATAGATGTTGCACCCTGCATGAAGAGACAGTTTTTATACTGTAAATTGTAGTACTTCCTAAGTCAGAAGCCAGAAAGCACAAACAGAACAACAATAATTTTTTATGGAACATTTCAACCTATATACATATTTTTTGCTGTTGATCAAACAGTAAAAATATAAATGATTGAAATAACTGGTAGGTCATAAAACTTACCACATTTATTTATTTATTTATTTTTTTTGGTATAGGGACCTTCCGGTTTTCGGATTCAGAGGGAAACCGACTAATCCGAAATCAAGCCGGGTAGGACCACAAGGGCGGCAAAGCTCTCCCTCAAGAGTTTTAAATCACAAACTAGTCATGCAGGATGTACTATCAACATATTTTTTAATGAAAATATGTCGCACAAATCTGCTCATCAAAGTACAAAGACCAAAGAACATCTCAACCTGATTTCTCTCAGTAAGAAAACATTCAAACATCCCATCCATCCACATTTCTACACCGAGTTATAGTAAATCCCAGCAGACGACTTTCAAATCACGACAGTCGAACAAAAAGAAGTCGAAAAACCTAACCATTCTCCGATCGCACGACACTATAATGAAAGAAGGAACAAAATAAAAAAGGAAAAAAACTTTCTTCAGATCACCACCGAAAACCCCAAAAACCAAGAAAAGAACTAAGGTTTGATTTCCAACCTCGGCTCGAAGCAAAATCCCGTGAAAAGCTGAAGCGGAAACCTCTTCGCCACCGGGCACTTTTGTGACCACTTCCACTGCCTCCGGTTAAAATCGAAAATCAAGAGCGCAGGTGCACCGTAACTCTGTATGTAGACGATCCCACCCGTCCCACTACTCGCAAAAACATCGTCCAACTCACCAAACCCCTCAAAATATCTATGTGGCATTCGGGCCACCTCTTCCCACTCCCGCCCTTTCAAGGCCCAAATCCCTATACCCTTTATAATATCGGGCCTGTCGTGCCTCCCGATTCCCCCGACCATCACGA